AGTGTCTTTATCATGTGCCATATACAGATGTTAGCTTGTGTAAATTATGCAGTCAATGTCACCATTATGTTCTGTAATCATACTTTACACCCTGTCTATGTTGATTTTGCTCGAACTTGGACAATCACACAGACACAGGGAGGCACTCTGGCACCGTCTTACTGAGAGTTTGTGGTGACCGTCTGCTTTCAGTCCTTTTACCCTGAATGAGAGTCAAATGTACGTGATGTCAGCTAATGTTGTAGCCCATCACTCCTCTGCCATTCCTGTAGGTTATGCTGAATAAAAACTGTCACAGGCTTCAGTCTCACTAAAGAGCTCGTGAGGGCTCTCTGGGACTTGATGGTGAACGTGAATGAAGGAATGCAATGCCAGCTGAGGACTTCTATATAATCAGAAGCAACTCCTGGCTAATACTTGGAAAGCTTGATGTTGAACATCCAGCATCAGTGCACATGCTTTGCTTCGGTTTGCAGCTAGACAGTTGTCTTCTGTCAGTGCAACAAGTTGGGTCTTCATGCTCCAAAGGCAGATCTGCAGTAGAAACTCTCCAGCACACCAACTAGTTGATACTTGTGGATCTGGCTCACTGCTGCTGTAGCTTTCCCCAAAGGAAGGAAAGCAGGTGATTGTTGCAAAGAGCTGATCTCTGTCATCTCTTATGTGCAGGCTTGACTGTTTCAAGTTTCAGGGTGGTGAAGAAAATCCCCTTCCTGAGGGAAGTGTTTGTCAGAAATAGGCTGATGTGATCTCAGTGAGCTTCTACAATACAGACTCATTTAGCTTACAACAGGGTGTGTTTCTCAGAACATATTTACAATAGGGATGGCAAACATTTTGATTTGATTTTCCTGCAGCTGAGACCTTCTCTTAAGCCCATTTCTGATGTAGTATCTGTGGTAGGTAGGAAGAAGGCTGCTTACAGCAGAAGGGACTTCAAAGTCATCTAGACAGATTAATTTTGTTTCAGGTGAGCATGCAGTTTTGAAAAACTCCGGGAAGAAGACTGTGAGACTGCATGGGTCAGTAAAAAGGACACTGTGCTTGAGAGCTGAGTCCTCTGTCCTCCTTATGTAAAGAGATTATCTTGTCCAGGCAAAGCTAGACAAGAACAGGCAAGTTCTGCCCTCCCTTCGGAGAAGGTTGTGTTCAGTCAGGGCGTGAAGGCATCAGGTGCCTTTCTACCTCTCATGGACATTTCCCCCCAAATTGCCTAAGCAGCTCCTGTCTGTGTGGCTACCCCTGCAGAAGGGCAAGTGGCTATGGGGCAGTGTGTTGGGGTGAGGTATTGACAGGACTGCTGATGACTGAGGATCATGTACGTGAGCATAGCTGTGGAGGAATGCTCCTGAGATGCATTTGGCTAATGCTACCTACAGTACCCCAGAAGAGATTGCCTGTCAACTAGGGCATCTGAATTGGTTCTGACAAGCACGTCCCACCCCCTCACCTCCCTCAAGCTCTTCCTAGCTTGACTCAGTGAGCTGTTTGCAACCAGCTAGCTGAACAAACTGGGAAAGTCCCTGGAAATATGCCTGTTTATCTCGAGGGCATCATTTTCCATATAGCTGTAGAGTGAACATGTGTGTTGGAGAGGGAATTCTCTTCTGTTACCTCTCTCTATGTATTTCTTAATATTGCCCTCTTTCATTTGCTTTTTGTGCTGTGGAATACCTTGTTTACCTTGGCTTGTAGCTTCAGGTTTTAGGTTTTTTTTTTTTTTTTTATCTTCTCCCTTTCTCCATTTCAGAAATTTCACATAAATTACTGTGAATAAACTTGTTTTTCCTGCCTGTCACTTACTGTTTGCTTTATCACTAGTTACCTCTTGATGAGCTCATATGATATTGCACAATTCTCATCTGTTAACAGTACCAAAAGGACCAAGAAATAGATGATCATGTTCTGCCAAGCTAAATGACTTTAGGATTTTTGTCATTCTTTTCTCAGTTGTAACCAGATGGCTTTATGGCAGTATTTCCTTTTCCCCACTGTTGCTCAATGTTCTTGTTCTTTCTGTAACCTCAGCAGAAACTTTTGAAGTAATCACCCAATAGATTTGTACTTTAGGGTAGGAAGGGCATTAGCAAATTGACAGTGAAATTCAGAAGCATACCAAAACACACAGAACCTAAAATAATGTAGCCCATTGTTAACAGATCACCTTCAGGAGTGTGTACTTTATTTTTAAACAGGCAAAATGATTAACCAGACCTGTTGTTTTGGATTTTTTTTACATAGTGATATTCAAGACAAATAGTTTGAGCAGATAGATTTTTAGTCAGTACACAAAACAGTTGTCTGTAGTCTTACCAATTGAGGCAGATGTCTTGCTTGGCTACCATTAGCATAAATAAAAATGTGTATTTATGGTGTTGTGTGGTACGTAATTCAGTGCTTGTACAGACATCTGCTGCATGCTTTCGCTGTAGCAAGTTCACGCTGTGTGTATAGATATGTGCATCTACATGTTTATGTATGTGTGCATCATATATATCTATCTTGACTGATAGAAAAGATAAAGCACCTGGAGTTAACTGTTAGTCACCGGACGGTGCACAGGTATGGGACTTGCTTTCAGCAGGAACAAAATGGCTTAACATCAGGATGCAAATACAAATGAGACAAACTGGCTGGTTTGGTGTTTTCAGGCCTGTTGTTTCTAGTTCTTTGCAAAACATCTTCTGCACTGATTAGATCCACTTCACACTTTTTGTGGTTGTCCTTTAAAGCCATTTAGCAGCCAGAAGCTTTTATTTTTACTACATTGTTTAAAGCAAAAGAGTTAAATAACAACAAAGTAGTTTCAGAGTAATACTTGGGTGGCTTACAAGCACAGGCTACCAGCTTCAGCTGCTGCTTTCAAACTATTTAGTTGATCTTAATCCTTCAGGCTCAAGTTTCTTCATGGATTAAACAGCTGGCTTGGTATCTGCTCTGATACTTCTAATGCTTTTCTGGTGGCTTGTGTCAGCTGCCTTTCCTTCGTAGCTGTTCCACTTAGATTGCTGGTCTCTAGACTTTTATGTCTTGATCTGGACCTATGTGACATTCTGATTTTATTGCAAGTTTGTTTAACTGTAGGCAGTTTTTTTGTACTATTTTTTAAAAAGCCAGTGGATGCCCTCATCCTGTTCCTGCTTCTGGCACAGACATTTGTGATTTTTCTGTCAAGGTCCCAGGGGAATTGATGGGGTGAGGTGGGAGATTTAGCACTGATTACCCTGAGCAGACATGGTGTGAGTCATTCTGAGGTTTGCACTTCAAGCTTGGCTGTTTGGATTTGTTGTGTAGCACTAAGTTCTCAGAAGCTGGCAGAAAAGAAACAATCACTTCACTCTGGCTGGTGTTTCACCTCCAGCCAGCCCCCATTTCCATGAGCTGCTTCTGTGGGCTGCCTCTAATTGTGTGAAACAAGAGTTCAAGACTGACAGTGGTGTCAGCCACATCAAACTTTGTCTCTTGGCTATTACGGCCTCTCTGATAAGACCTACGTGGGAGCCTCAAGGGCAAGGATTTGTATTTGTTCTGCTACAGCAGCATTCTCAGGTACTGCAGCTTTCCTTCTTGTGAGGCAGATTGGGTTCATCATATTACCAAACCACATATGAGGTGGGGTGAAGACTGCCTACAGCAAGGACTGGCAGCTGGAGGATGCTCAGGGGGTGCTGATGTGCTCTGATCCCGATACCAGCTGGGTTCCTGGAGCAATTTTTGGAGCTCAGCTAGAGGCCTTTCCCAGAGGACTGAGCTGAAAGGGATCAGGGAAATCCTCTACAAATATTCCTTCACTTGTTTCTGCTGCTGCATTAAGAAGGGGGAATGCAGCTCCTCAGGGGGCTGGACTACCACCACCAACAGAACTGCATCCACATTGCCCCATAGCGTCAGCATCGCGTAAGTCCTGCCTTGGTCAGCTTTTCGTTGTGACTCTGTGTTGTGGTAGCAGTTGTGACTGTGATAGCCAGAGCATAGTTTAAATCAAGTTTTGAATACGCTGAGTCTGGTCTGACTGGTCAGTGGCTAAATGCTGGCAAGTAGGATTTTGGAGAGCTGTGAAAAATAGGTACTGCATGGGTACAAAACAAAAGATTTATCAGAGAGAGTGTGGCGTGGTGAGAAGGAGCAAGCTGCGGGAGGGTGTCAAAGCAATTGCCAGTTCCTTCCTCTTTCCCTCCCCTGGAAATCCTTCGCTTCACCAGGAGTATGTTGTGGCTTGGGGTTTTTGTTTGTTTGTTTTGTTGTTAATTGCATGGCTGCAGTGTATGTGTTTTGGCCACATCTCTAAGTCACGGCTGTCTGTTGTAGTTGTGTACCAACATGTGGCTGTCAAGCCTCTGATGTTGCTGTACATACAAAGAAGGTAGTAACATGGTGCCCAAGTCTGTGAGCCTGCAACTGACAGAATCATTCCTAATTTAAACAGATGTTTTGGGAGCAAATTCTTTCTCAGTTTCTTTACCAGGAGTGTGCAAGCCTGGCAGGCAGAGACCGTGTGTCCTGGGAATCTGACAAGGCTGGCCAGGCTCACTGGTTACAGTGCAGATACTTTTACATATAGGTAAATGTAATGTCAGGGGAATTGAGGCCTGATTTAGGAGTTGTTTAGGCTCATGACTTCAAAACTACTTAGGGTACCTTGTGAAGCTGATGGCAGCTGTATAGTAGGTCATGCTCATGATGTTGTTTGATGCCCGAGAAGGAGATTTCAGATGCAATTCCCAGGTTTTCTGGTGAACTACTGAACATCTCAAAGGCAAGTTTGGCAGTGGTGCTATTGCTCATGCAGGGTGCCTTTACTCTGGTAATGGTGTTGCTGAATTCAGGGGTCAGGTCGAGTTCTTGTTTTTTTTAGGAGAGTGCCTGCTACCTCTTTTGAACCATTGGGTAAATTAAATGTTCACGATGCAAAGTGATTTTTCAAATAGTAAATCTGTAATTGTTTTTCAGACCTCAGAGTGGAAGTGTTCTGACCCTCTCCTCTTTTCTAATCTTAATAGGACTTTACAGAATCCAACCCAAGTTCCAGTGGTTGTGTCTCCTAGCAGTCAGCAGCTGCATACTGTAACACTCCAGACAGTGCCTCTTACTACAGTGATAGCCAGCACAGATCCAACCTCAGCAACAACGTCCCAGAAATTCATTTTACAAGCCATTCCTACTTCACAGCCCATGACGGTCCTTAAAGAAAACGTCATGCTACAGTCTCAGAAGCCAGTCTCACCTCCTTCCTCAATCGTGCTGAGCCCAGCACAAGTTCAGCAGGTGATCACCAGCAGCGTGCAGACAGTTTGCAATGGGACAGTCAACATGGCTTCGTCTCCATCCTTCAGTGCTAACACCCCCATGGTAACGTTCTCGCCCAGCAACTCACAGGTAGCTCATCCCTCTGGCACGGTGATCACTTCAGTTATTAAAGCACCAGAAACAAAGCACAGCAACGTACAAGAGGCAATGAAAGAAGATGACAGTGACAAAGCAGGTGATACTGAGCAGTCAGAGCAGAGATTCCAGCAGCAACAGTTTGTGATGGTGGTGTCCAGTTCGAATGGCTTCCCATCTGATGTGCAAGTGAAGCAAGAAAATGAGACATTGGAACCCAGTTCATATGAGTAAATTCTTAAAACAAGCAAACAAACAAAAGACCCTGTGGATGATTATTTTCATAAATGTGATGGGACCTCTCAGTTATGTATATATATGATTTGATTCTGAAGCAAGATGTTGCAAAGCTCCTTAATTTCTGCAGTTAATTGTTAGAATTCATGCTTTAGAATGGATTTTGATTTTCTGTTAATTGCTAAATGTCATCATATAAATAAAATGACATATTACTCATGTTTCAAAATACAGGCATGAAGGAACATGCTTTTTACGCTATGAAGATTTTCTCCTGAGGTTGTTGGCCAAAGTTTCAGACTTCTTTCTTATTGTATGTTTTCAATCTTCTGCTGATTTACATTGCAGTAACATTACTATAACCTTTTCTGTTTAATCCCTACATGTATCACTTAATTCCAAAGCAACAGTTACTTTTAGTGGGACATTTTTTTCATTCCATGTGTATGAATTTTTATGACCAACTATCTGTTCCATACTGGTAAATTACACCAGTTTTAGACTTTGATAACCAGGTATCCTCTTGCAATTTTTGCAGCACAAGCTCTTGTGTGTGCAAAATTGACTATACACTCCTATTGAGAGTATACAAAACATTTATTCCAGTAATGGACAACACCATGTCTCTATTTTATATGGAAACATCAGATATATTTAATTACAGAAGCTAACGGCATCACTACAGGTGCAAATGTTTCATGCCATTTTGTGACTATGAAGCTTAACAGTCTTGCTTTCTACTTCAGATTATTTTGTAAGGGGGGAAAGAAATTAAATATATACAATTTATACAGGTATTTGGAGATTAATACTGCTAAGAGTTCTTTTTTTTTTTTTGATTGTAAATAATGTACATTCAATGTCACAGGGAGGTTTTTTCAGCTAATTTGTTTCCATACAAATTTTTGATAGATGCAAATAAGATCATTATGTTTAGAGGTCTAATGTTATATGTATTCATATTACAGAGTGAATTTGTATTTAAAGACAAATTTTTAAATGATGGAGCCCTCTGAACCTTGGGTCCTTGCCTTTTGTATTTTTAATTGGTTTATTATGAAAATAAATCAAGTGGAAAAACATTTTTCTGTATTTACTCTACAGTGCTTTACATTATTATGACTTTTTTTGACCATTATAAATAACCACACTACACTGAGAAATGGGGCAGCATGATTAATCAGTGTGGGTCTGTGGTGGGACAGGTTTTAAACTGACAGAAGGTAGATTTTGATTAAACATTAGGAAGAAGCTCTTACCTGCAACGGTGGTGAGGCACAGGTTGCCCAGAGAAGCTGTGGCTGCCCCATCCGTGGCAGTGTTCAAGGCCAGGCTGGACAGGGCTTGGAGCAGCCTGGTCTAGTGGAAGGTGTCCATGCTGGATGAGCTTTAGGGACTCTTCTAACCCAAACCATTCTGTGATTCTATGATTAAATTAATCTAGGAGTTTTGTTGATAGGGGGATAAAAATTTAAAGATAAGCTTAAAGGTACTAGAAAAACTAATGGGAGTAGAACTGCAGCAGAGATAGTTTGGCCTAGTTGAATAGAATTTTACAGATTGGTTTGAACAAGCAGCTCTCTGCTCTACCTGCCTGGTTTAATTCAGTGTTTCATTGCTCTGACTCGCATGCAGTCATGCTTCCACCTGCAGATCCAGCATTTCCATTTCAGGAAGACTGGCTGTACTCAAACCAGAGCAACTGCTGCCAGCTGACCAGAGGCTGTTTGTCCAGCAGCTCCCTGCAGCTGGGCAGTGTTGGAAATACTGCTAGGAATGAGGGTAAGCGATGTAGAAGTGTTACCTAGTGCAGTCCTCATCCTGAGCGCTGTTCCAGATTGATGAAAACACTAGAGAGAGAGGCTGGGGCTTTAAACCTGACTATAAAATAGGGACTTCTTCCTGTAGAGCAAGTATTTCATAATACTTGGAAACCTGAAGTGATAAAGCTTGACTGGCATTGGTGTTTTGTTCTGCTGATTTACTGGAAACATGAAAATAAAATAGCACCGTAAAGTTACAGCTTTGCCAACAAAACTTCTTGCCATAGCTGCAACTATTACAAAGAGAAAATGGTTTGTTTATGCTTCATTTATGGCAGTTGGCTAAGAGGAGAAGATCTCCAGCAGGCAGTGACGTGTCTCCCACAGCAGTGTTGTGTAACGAACAGTAAATGAGAATCACTCCATGATCGTGTTCTTAAGGCTCCAGCCTAACAGCTGGGTGCATCTATACTTTTGGCTCTCCTTAGTACAGCAGCCTGGTCTAGTGGGGGGTGTCCCTGCCCAAGGCAAGGGTGTTGGAACTAGACGAACTTTAATATCCCTTCCAACCCAAACCATTCTGTGTTTCTGTGACAAAGGGAGAAGCTGGAGTGAATCATAGATCAGGGCTCACACTTGGAGTCTGAGCAACTCTTCCCCTCCCACAGCTGCCCGTGTGCCTGTGGCAGCAGCCAAACAAAACACCGAACGCTGCTCAGAAAGAAAAAATTGAATCTGCTATGCTTTCCTGCATGCGTGTGAGGCTGCAGGGCAGAAAAGGGACCTTTCTTTACTGAGGTGTTTCATGGAATGCAGTGCAGGGAGGAGGAAGTTGTGATAGGCCAGGGGGGATAGCTTTAAACTGAAAGAGGGGAGATTTTGATTAGACACTAGGGAGAAATTCTTCCCTGTGAGGGTGGTGAGGCACTGGCACAGGTTGCCCAGAGAAGCTGTGGCTGCCCCATCCCTGGCAGTGTCCAAGGCCAGGTTGGATGGGGCTTGGAGCAACCTGGTCTAGTGGAAGGTGTCCTTGCCCACGGCAGGGGGTTGGAACTGGGTGGGCTTTAAAGTCCCTTCCAATCCAAACCATTCTACGAGGTCATGAAGGGGGGAGTCAGCTGCGCCGCCGCCGGCAGACCTCACCGACAGCCAGCGGCGGGTGCCAGCACCCTTCAGGCTGGGGCGGGAGGCGGTATTTAAGCTTCCGACGAGCTCGGTGCCTCGGAAGCTGGCTGCTCCTGCACCGTGGCCACGATCGCTTCAGCTTCACCCCTGTTCCCCTCAGTCTCGCACCCCAAGTGGCGCCCACTCTTTTCTCCCGTCTATGCCTACACGCCGTCCGGAAAGCCCTGCCCGCGACATGGGCAACTTCAGCACGGAAACAACCGCCCCACACCCACCACGGCGGGAGGAAGAGGCGGGCAGGAAGCTTGGTGACGAAGAGGATCCACACTTGCCCTGGCAACCATAACCGCCCCGCCTCACCGGTGAGGCGCGGGAGGAGTTTGAGGCGCTGGCTCGCCCCTCTGCATCCCGGCAGGCCCTGCGCAGCTGCGGCCTTGGGGCTCGTTGCACGGCGCCTCAGCGGCTCCAGAAGTTTCCTGGGGGCGGCGGCCGGCATGGCGGCTGCGGTAGCTGCTCCTCCTCGGTGAGCCCCTCACCCGGCCCGGCCTCCCCGCCCCGCTGCCCTCTCGCCCGCCCTCTTACGCCGTTGTGTTTCCTCGGCAGGTTCTCGGATGGGGACATCGACCGGGACCCGGGGGCCGCGGCGCAGGTGAGGGCCGTGTGGGCCGGCGGCGGCTCGGAAGCGGTGTGGGGGGACACAAGGCACAGGCCTCGGGTGGTTGAGAGTTGCCGAGCCGTCGGTGCTGTGGGGCTGGAGGCAGCCGGAGCTAACAGCGTGCCCAGGGCGAGGAGAGCCTTGAAGCGTCGTGCGGTTGGTTCCATTGGTGCGAGCGGGGGACTCGCAGAACCTCCTCTGGAACCTCTTACGGGTGAGGACTGGCTTCGGAGCTGTTCAGCGCAGTTTTGACAGAGCACTGGTGTTACTTGTGCTGCAGAGAGGGAAAACCCCTCACGAACGAACCAACTTTGGTATAGGTACATTGCAGTTCAGATAACTAATTTGCGATCTGTGGTTAGAAAAGCTCCAGTCTTATTAGAGACATTTATTCAGGCTTTGCTAGTTCCTTATTCTGCCATGATCTGTTTTTTTTCCCCACTTCCTGTATTTTGTGGGGACTGGAACTGTGTTTTATTTCATCTCAACATAAAAAATAAACTTCTACAGTAAGAATGGTCCTTCACTGAACAGCCTCCCCATGGATGCGGTGCAGCGTACATCACTGGGGAGTTTCAAGGCATGACTGGATGGGGTGCTAGATGATGTCACTCTCCCACGAAGGCTTGGACAGGATGAACTTCCAGGGCCGCTTTCAGCCTGGGCTGTCCTATGATCCTATGCTTGTACCTGCTAATATGTATTAATGTGCTTTCAGAGGTTATTTTTAACCAAAACAGAGAAAACAGAAGTGAAGGGTGGATAAATGTTTCTATTTAACATACTTGGAAGGGGCGAGGATACGAATACTTCTGCTTGGATGGAGTAGGTGGCAGAAGCATAAGATGATACTAAATTATCATTCTCATAAAGAAAATGGTAAAGCTAAATCTTACAGTTCTTTTGGAATTTGGACTGTAGCTTGTAAAAGCTTTTCAGAAGAGAAATGGCATCTAAAAAGCAATTTGGAATAAGTGAATATATTTGGTACAGTAAAACTAATTTAGGGTCTAAAAAAATAAAAGTAGTTTTCTCATTGTAGAGGGGAAAACTCACCACCAAACACAAAAATCCCCAACATCAGAAGGTCTTTGGAAGTATTAACGAATACTATTAAAATATGCGTTTGGGTTTGGGTTTTTTTTTTGCATTTACATAGTTGCTTTGATTTTCTAATGTCTGTTTCAGTCATTGTACATTCAGCACTTCAGAACAGTAACACATTGTGCAAGCATTATTGAATATCTGATACAGTAATACTGGTGTCACATGTGTAGCCTTTTTTTTTAAAGTATTGAGTTGGGTAGCCAGTCGTCTTGACAATCTCTGAACCTGTGAGTCCCATAGCTCAGAGTAGAGTTTAGCTGACTTGGAAGCTTTGATCTACAAGTAGTGTACCATGTTTGCATGATCTTAGGTGTGGTCTCCTAGCTCATGTACTTAATATTTCTAATTTGGGACATGATACCATATAAATGGGGCTATGTAATGCTTCCACATCTGACTAGAGCTGTGCCCACTTGGCATGGCATTTCTGCACTGTGTCCTCAGGACTTTTTATTCCTTGTAACTGCTGGGTGCATGCTTTGGCTTTCTGCAGCTGCATCTGATCCTGAATTACAGGATGGTTGAGGTGGGAAGGGACCAGTGGGGTCATCTAGTCCAACTCTGCTTCTCAAGCAGGGTCACCCAGAGCACATGGCTCAGGAGTGTGTCCAGATGGCTTCTGAGTATCTCCAGGGAAGGAGAATCTGCAACCTCTCTGGGCAACCTGTGCCAACACTTAGTCACCCTCAGAGTAAAATTATTTCTCATGTTCAGGTGGAACTTCCAGTTTTTTGAGTTTATATCCATTGCCTTTTGTCCTGTCACCTGGCACCATGAAGAAGAGTCTGGCCATATTCTCTTGACACCTTCTCTTCAGATTATCTACATGCATTGATCAGACAACTCTCTCCCCCCCACCCCGAGCCTTCTGTTTTCTAGGCTGGACGGGCCCAGCTCCCACAGCCCTTCCTCGTAGGGGAGATGCTCCAGTCCCTTAATTATTCTAGTAGCCCTTCACTGGACTTACTCAAGGAGCTCCATGTTTCTCTTTTACTGGGGATCCCAGAACTGGACAGAGCACTCCACATGAGGCCCCACAAGGGCTGAGTAGAGAGGGAGTACTACCTCCCTCAACGTGCTGGCAGCACTCTTTACACAGCCCAAGATACCATTGGCCTTCTTGGCCACAAGGGCGCATGGCTGGTTCATGGACAGTTGATGTCCACCAGGACCCCAGGTTGTTTTCTTCAGAGCTGCCTTCCAGCAGGTCAGCCCCCAGCTTGTACTGGTGTATGGGGCTATTCCTGCCAATGTGCTAAACCCCATACTTGCCTGTGTTGAATTTCAAAAGGTTCTTCTGCCCATCTCTTCAGCCTCTCTAGATCCTTCTGAGTGGCAGCACAGCATTCTGGGGTATCAGCCGCTCCTCCCAGTTTTGTATCATCAGCAAACTTGCTGAGGGTACCCTCTGTCCCTTCAACCAAGTCATTCA